ATGCCATTCCATACAGCACAGTAATTAGGATGTGAGCTCTGGAATCAGAAGGCATGGATTTAAATGATTTACCACTTACTAACTGTGTGGCTTTGGGCAAGTCAGGTAATCTTTGTGAGTCTCATTGTTTCATTTGATAAATGGGAACAAAATAATAGGATGTATAAAGTTGTGCTGAGAATCAGCACTGCTTCTAGACCACTGATTGTGGCAAGATAGGCAGCTGACAAATTTTACTGCTCACTGGAATAAACTATGTTTTGCTATAGGAGGGCATGGACCAGAAGCTCTTTTTATCATACTGGTTAAACCAATTCTTCTGCTACTGAGAAAAGTCAAGAATGGAAGAAAGGAAGGGAGGGAAGGAGAGAGGGAGGAATTCAGATATCCTCCTTTTGGTTTGACTCTGCAACTCAGATAAACAATTTATACTAATTCAACACTTGGCAAAGAATCCAGTATCTGGAAGCAAAGAACAATGCTAAACCTAGGCACAAAGTTTGCTCTTAGCCAACACCTGCTAACATGATGGGACACAAAGGACACCCATTTCCAGACATCCAGGAGTGGATCAGGGAGTGCCCAAACCCAACTCTTTGGCTTCATGAAGAACCGAGCCAGGCACAGCTTACTGTGTAGGGATAATTGCCTCTCTCAGTTGTAGCATCCATCCCTCATGGAGGGGATGCACTCATTCCTTTCATTCACTCAGTCACTAAACATGCATGTGTTAAGGTTCTTCCACGTGCAAAGCCCTATGCAGGCTGCCGGGATAGAAGGATGAAATGACACAGTACTTTCTCTCAAAGAGCTGACAACTAATAAATGAGACCATGATGCACATGCAAGACTGGTGACATGTAGAGTAAAAGGAAAGCAAGTCCAAGATACACAGGAACAGAGGAAGGACTGCTTAAGTCAGCTCGAGGGAGTCAGGGAAGGCTCCCGGAGGAGGTGGCACTGCAGTCAAGATTTGAGGGATAATCAGGAGTTTGATAAATTTAGAACAACCGAGAGAAGGGAGCCTGAGACAGAAATCGGGTTGTTATTGCCTTTCAGGACAGTTGGGGTGCTGGAGCCAAGAACAGACCTGGAACAAAGTTAATACTATTTTTATAAGCTAGAAAAATATCAGCAGCAGGAGCTCTGGCCAGAACCAGCCCCACAAAGAGCAAACAAAGCTACTCCTATCTTCTGGCTGTCTGTTGGAGAACTTACTAACCAGCACCTTAAGAACAAAATGTTCTTTAGTCTTTGATTTTTATTCCCACAAAGTCCTTCCTCCTCTTTTTCCAAACTGGAAAAAGCATGGGTTAATTTTACTTGCCTCTTTGATCTTTATCCTCCTGTCCCAGGCTCCCTTGAGAATGAGAGCCCAGGGAGATTTCTCCAAAGCAGAGTGCTGACCCCTCCTATCAGTCAGAATGTAGGGTCCAAGGTAGGTCATGCTAGGTCAGCACTTGAAGGGGCCATAACTGTCAGGGCCTGTTTGCAGGAGGCTTGCATGGCCTCCAATTCTGACCTCCAAAGCTGGGTTCTTAACCTGACATTCAGCAACTTCTTAGCATGGAGTTCATCTACCCATTTCTTGAGATTGCTTCTGACCTCCACCTATACAGAATCTAAAGCAGTGAATCCTGCATTCTGTCACCAAGTGCCCAGCAAGGAGAATTGGGGCACATTCGGGGAAGGCAGACAGAGTCCAGAAGCCTGAGGTTCTTCTCCAACTGCCTATCCAAAAAGAAGACAGCTCTCCTAGTACACTTCTTACTACAATAGTAACTCAGAGAACTTCCAATGTAAAAGCTCTTTGCATCAGGCATTGTGATTCCAGAGTGAGAAAACCAAAGAGAGATGCCTCATAATAACGTGCCTACCATAGGCCAGCTACTACGTTGGCTGCTTTACCTACTCACATCATCGGCTCTCTTAACAACCTGGCAAGGGTGGGTGGGGGGCGGCATTGCTCTCTCTTACTGCAGAAGAGGAAACACTGGAGCGAAGAGGTAGGATATGTGGCCCAACGTACACAGGTGGAGAGAGTAAGAATTTACATCCAGATCTTCAGACTCCATGTTCAGAGCCCTTATTTATAACATCACAACAACAGTTGTCTCCAACCAGTATTATAAAGCAACGAACACGCAAGCCAGGAAAGAACCACCAGAATTTTCTCTCCAGAAGGAGTGGGGCTTTGTCGGCTCTGTTCACTGCCATAACCCCTCAGTGCCTAGACCAGTAACTGGCAGGATTGCAAGCACTCGGTACATATCTTTAGTGACTATGCGGCTGGATGGTGGATGATCTTTCCAAGACCTTCAGGGTTGCGGAGGGCACAGGCAGGGTGAGAAGCAAGAGGAAGGCTCTGTTCCAGGCCTCCTCTCCTTCCCAGATACCTTAACCCTGAATTGGCTGAAAGGGGAGAGGAGGAAGTATCAGAAAGTACACAAAGGATAAAACTTGGTCAAAGTTACCATCTTGACTGTCTCTCAGTTGCTGGAGAAGCCCCTTCCTGTGCCTTCCCAGACACCACTGGCCCCTACGCTTAGCCCTTAAAGAATCCAAAGCCCTTATTCTACCTTTCCACATAAAGAACTTCCTTGTGGAAAATACAAGGGAAACTCACTAACCGATGAGCATTAAAAAGAATAAAAAGCCTCAGCCAAAGCTTCGAGGGGTAAAATTCCTATCACTGAACGTCTCTGATTTAGGAAAAGGGGCGGGGGGGGGGGGGGCCTGTAATAGCCTGTATTCCTCCCAGTACAATTCAACCAACACCTTCTGAGTATCTAGACATAGCAGGTGCCATATAGGGCACAGCAAGTACTCGCCAGAAGTGAAAAAGGGTGCTCTGGTTCGTCCCTTCGGGAGGTCTGGGAAACTGAACCAGGAGCCCCCGCAGGTACAGTCCGTCTTTCAGTGTGCAGTGGTCCAAGCCCAGTGCTCGGCACCTGGGTGGAAGTGGATGGGTGAAACAAATTGAAAAAGCATAAGCATTGAAAAAGCATGATGGAGAAAGATTCCCTGGCATCAAACGTGGTACAGGATGTCAGGATTATGAGGGGACAGGAAAACACCCTATCTATCTAGACCACAAGTTCTTTCTGTGCCTGCTCTCTGAAACCAAAATCATGCCATTCTAATCAAAAGCACACACTGCTGACATTGAAAAGGGAGAGAAACACCCTTGCCTATAACTCAGTATTATCTACCAGTCAACCAACCCACATGTGTTACTACTGGCTGTTTACAACTTCTCAGGCATTGTGTTAGATCCTGAACACATAAAGATGAACAAGTCAGACACATTCGTAGACTGATGAGCACACTACCCTGCTCTGGAAGTCCGTGAACTACGTAGAAGAACCAGATACTGCTTATTATCCTGTTGCTTAAGGAACCATGAACTTCCACTCTCCAGGTGAAGGCCATTTCACCTTATTCTTGCCTTAATGTGACTGTATTCCATTTAATAATTTATCAAGGACCCACAGGAACCTGATCCAGGGCTCAGCACAGGTGAGACAAGATTAATAATATAATGCCCTCAAGGAGCTCAAAGTCCATTAGAAAAGACAAGCAGATAAATCAGTCATTACAACCCAATGTAGATCATTTCTCCACTAGGGGTAGATGAAAGTGTTGAAACAAGTACAGCTTAGAGATTTTTACAATAAATCTGAGTGCTCCATGGAAGGCTATGCAGAGAACAAAGCGTCTGCCACGAATCTTCAAGTTAGAGTAGAAGTGAGCTAGAGAGAGAAGCAGAGGACCGATCATCAGTCTGGGAATAGAAATACACATGTGTTTACACAAACTGAATTCTGGGAGCACAGGTCAGTATAAGTACCTGAATGACACCTCTAACCTCTGATACAAAGTATGGAACAGGATACATTTCAAAGTTTCTTTGACTATGATCCATAGTAAATTCATTTTCATCATGGGCCAGTATGCACATGCACTACACACAAAATATAAACGTATGTTCCATAAAAACAGTGTTTACTCTTACTCTGTGACATGCACTCTGATGTTTTCTACTTCAGTCAAATCTATTCTGAAAAATCCAATGGTCATGACCAACTACATTGATCGTATGAAGTCTTAACCATAATTAACGACAAAAAGATTGTTAGAAAGAAGGGCTAGGAAAAAAAAATATGGCTATAGTGGAAGTGAGAGATATTGAGAATCTGAAATCCCCCCCCCAAAAAAAGGAAGGAAGGAAGGAAGGAAAAGAAAGAAAGAAAGAAAAGAAAGAAAAGAAAGAAAAAAAGAAAGAAAGAAAGAAAGAAAGAAAGAAAGAAAGAAAGAAAGAAAGAAAGAAAGAAAGAAAGAAACAGCACTAAGGATGTAGAGGAGAAGAGAGTCATCACACTTGACTGTAACCTTGTCTCACTGTCCGCCTATTAAAATTGATGGAAGAGATACCTTGGTTTTTGCTTTGGTTTTAAATTCAGTGCCCCCAAGCACCACCTCTAGGACACGGTTAGTGTTCAATGGGTCTTTGAAATAATGAAGACATTTGAATGCCAGATGTGAGAGTTATTTAGGAGATGAAATCAAGACTACACTCAAAGTAACTGGATATAGGATAGAAGCCAAAATTATGAAAATAAATCAATTAGTCTCGTCAGGGTTTTGGAGTACCTTCAGAAAAAAACATAAAAGTAAATACACCACCACCATACATGCTAGCTGGAAGTTAACATATCTTTTTCAAATTTTCAGTAAACCAAAGAACCGTCCAGATATTGATTCAGATCATTTCTTCCCCTGCTATTCTGTATGGAGAAATTAATAAAATTAAAGTCCACATTTGATAAAAAGTTCTATAATTCTATCCAAATGCCTAATTGTAAAAGGGCTTTTTGTTTCTATATCTTGAACCACCAACCCTTGATCCCTGCTTTAAAAACAGGAAAGGAGCGCATTTGGTTCTGAAGACCATTCCACTTGAACCCGGTGTTGCTCACGGACCCGGAGTGAGCGGTTACCTAGGCCTCCCGCGTGGGCATCAATAAGTGAAGCTGCTACGGCAATTCCAGCAGGAAGGCCAAGGTCCTTCGCTGCCTCTGGTGTGAGCCCATGTCCAAGAGAGGCTCCAGGAGGCAGCACTTGGTTTCCTGGGTAGACAGGAGGAAAAACAAACACCTGTCAGTTTGAAAAACACAAAAGCGAACATAGGGTTTTCTTAAGAGAACCTCTCCACTCCCTCCCCTCTCTTCTGCCTTTTGTCAACATCATGAAGATAAAAACCATGCACCCACCAACAGTCCTTTTGCTCATTTGGTGACTTAGGTGCATGTCCTTGGTTCCTATGCGTCACGCTCTGCGGTCCTTTACAAAGTCAAGAGCTCTAAAGCACCTTTCAAATTGGAGAAAGATTCCATTCACGGGAAATTCCAAAAGATATAAACACAGTGGCCTCTTGAAGACGAGGTTAAAATGGTTAAAGTGTTCCTCACACGCAGCAGCTCTACCAGCATACCTTACTTACACACACACACACACACACACACACACACGCGTCCACACCCGGTCCCTGATTAACATATATTCCTAAGGAAGTTGAGAACATTCACTTGTGTAGTTGCTTCCTGTCAGAGGATAAGGGAGGGGATTATTTTGTTCCGATATAAAATGTCTTGAAAGTTTTTCTCCGTTGGACAAGAGAACCCAGTCTAAACCTTGCAAACTTTTACAAGGCTGCTATTTGCACAACCACAGAAAACAATCTGAATGGTGTTCTTTGGAGTTGTGCAATGCCGTGACCCTGATATTTCAAGTGACCTTGAATTCCTGCAGTCAGTCAGGCCTTCAGTTAAGAATTTATTGATTGTCTTGCTTTGTGTGGGCGCTGTGGTGCTGTAAAAGGCAGTCCTTGCACCCAACCTAGTTAGGGAGATGAGATCAGGACACAGAGAGCCACGAAAGTCAGAATACAATGAAGAAATCCATCTGTTCTCAGGTGTTTAGCAGAGGCTGAGTCCTTCCCTTCCCCCTGCCAAGAAATATATAATAAGTATTTCTGCATTGCAAGGAGGGGGGTGGACCCACATATATGCTCAGGCCCCTCTGAGCTCCAAGATTCTAAGATTCTGAACGTGTAGTCAGCAGTTTGCTCAGCACTAAGATGCCTACCACTTGTTAATTGTTCCATGGAGCTCCAGGGGTAGGCTGAGGTGTTTCAGGACTTCTGGAGGTGGAGGGGAGGGTGGGGGTTGAGGGAAGCAGAAGGTGAGTGGCTCACCAACCTCCTCTAATTAGAAACAAACAAAAAAAACCCCTCCATGACACCATTTTTATCCATTTTAGGTAATGAGCTTCTTCTAGAATTGAATTTGAAAAAAGTCTAGCTAAGAAAAGCAAGCAGAAGACGGAAACCCCTGCAATGTGCTCTGGAGCTTCACCATCCAAGATGGTAGCCACTCGGCACGTGCAGACAGAGCACTTGAAATGTGGCTGGAATAATGCAAGGACCTAAATTTTCCACTTAATTTCATTTTAATTCATTTCAATTTAAAAACTGATACTCAATTCAGTTACTGAAAAACTTCTAAGTACATTTGAAACCACAAATCTACATTTTCAATGTTAATTGAGGAAATCTACATCAAAAACTAATGATGACATCTAAAACTAATGATGTAATGTATGGGGATTAACATAAGAATAAAAAAAAAACTAATGATGTACTATATGGTGACCAACATAATAAAAAAAAGAAATCTAAATATTTACAATGAAAATTTAGTGTCTAAATCGGGATGTACTAAGTGGCAAATACGCATTAGCTGTCAAAGACTTTGTACGAAAAAGTATGGCAAAAAATGAATGTAAAATATCTCATTAATAACTTTTACATCAAATATACATTGAGATGATGTTTTGGATGTTTTAAGTTATATAAGAGACACTGACATTAATTTCACCTATTGCTTTTTACTTTAATGTGGCTTCTGGAAAGTTTTAAATTATGTATGTGGCCCATATTTCTATAGGATAGCCCTGGTCTAGAAGATCAAGTCAAGACGCTCCTATGATGGGGTGGAAAGCAAGGAGAACTTCTCACCTACTCTGAATGCCCAAGCCATCAGAAACCTGAAGGAGAGCAGTGCCCTTTGCTGGGGACAATGTGTCTCCAGAGACATACGATCTCAAGTATGGCACCACATCCAGTATCCAGCACGTAACAGGCAGTGTTTGTCTTTACTGAGCACTGCTGTTCGAGGGACTGTGCTAAGGGCATATGATGCATTTTCTCAGTTGGTTGTCATAACCCCGTGTGAAGGATACTCTACTGTCCCCATGGCACAGATGGATGGGGAAAGTCAGTTTATACAGGGAAAGTAAATTCCCCACAAGTGCTGGAGTATAGGCCATGGATTCCACCGTGATGGACACAAACCTGTGCTCTTATTCATTAAATTACATATGAGTATATCTATTTAAAAAAATGTTTAAGTGAATGAAGAAAAGTGAAGTACTTTTCCTTTTTAAAAGATTTTATTTACTTATTTAGAGAGCGCGAGCACATGTGGGTGGGGGAAGGGGCGGAGGGAGAGAGGGAGAGAGAGAGAGAGAGAATCTCCAGCAGACTCCCCATGGGCGGGGCTCGATCCCATGACCCTGAGATCAGGACCCCAGCCAAAATCAAAAGTCTGGATGCTCAACCAACTGAACTACCCAGGTGCCCCCAAAGAAGTACTTTTAGAACAAACATTATGCTAATCATGCTCACTACCTTCAGATTTTTCTTAAAGGGTTAATTTTTATAGGAAGGTAAAAATGTTTCACCTTCATCTCCGAGCTTCACAAACAGAAGGGGTATAATCTTCCTTAACAAAAGATTCCGGACAGGAGGAGGATGAGCAAGATGGGGCACTCTGGGGCGCCTTCTGGGCAGCAGTTGAGAAGGGCTTCTGGAGGACTGCAGGTAGATTTCCCAGCAAAAGCCAAGGAACACGGGAGACGCCGAACGGGCTGTGCAAGGAGGAACAGGAGCTGGAGGTGGAAGGGGCAGATAAGGCTGGAGATGGAAGGGGGACAAGGCACGCACTGCCATCCTGGTGGAGGCGTCCGAACTCCATCACGAAGCTCACTGCGAGCCTCTGGAGAAGCATTACAGCCAGGGTGCGAGGTGGCTGCATCTGTGCACTTTTCCAGATCTCTCCGGAGCACTTGCAGCAGAAGACAGCGAGGGTTAGGGAGAACACTTGTGAAGCGATTTTGGTAAGAGAAAAGATGAGGACCTCCATCAAGGAATGGGCAAGGGAGATGCAGAAGCAGGCAACAGGAGAGGTTTTGTGAAGCAGGCAGTGAGGCCATGGCGGTCACCTGGATGCAGGGAGTATGGGAGCTACGGAGACACCGCCTGCATCCCCATTAAGGACAGACTGGCGGCCCAGGAAGGGGGGTCAAATCAGCAGAAAGCTGCTAGCTGCCAGCACCTTTGGGCCACTGTGCCGAGGTGACCCCTATCCCAGGGCAGCCCCACCCGATGACTTAGCGTACTGGGAGCAGAAGGACTCTGATGGGCACCACTCACTCCAGAGCACTCTTCTGGGCTGGCCAAGGGGCGTGGGGCTGTATTACAGCTCTAATCCTCGCTCTGCCCAATCCTCCTCTCTCCCCCTTCCTATCACAGATGGCAACCCCTAATAACTACCTTGTAGTACCCCCAAATCTATCTCAGCATCTGCTGCCAGAGAACCCAACTTAGGGCAGTCAGCCAGGCCTTCTCCACAGGCCAGTGGTCCTGGAATGAAAATAAACATGCACAAAGATTCACATCCTCCTTTGAACTGGAACCACACCTTTCAGGAATAGTCTATCTGGGCCAAAAGCAGGAAGAAGCTTTGTTTATTTCAAGACCAAACAGAAACAGCTTGGCATAAGAGAAGGTGCTAGAAAAGGCAGGAATCGCTGAGAAATCACCCCATCAGATCATGCTTTAAGTTTATCAGCCAGAGGGGCATCTGAGGGATTACAGGAGCTGTCAGAAACAAGCTTTAGTGCGCCTTGACAACTGTTCTGGAATTAATCCTCCTTTCGGCTCTTCCTTGACCATAAAATTAAGTTAATCACAGCATCCATTTTCCCAGACTTAATCAAGACCTCAGAGCCTCAGCATTGGCTGTCTCTCCTAGCCTTTCTTCCACCACTCATCCACGCATCTTAACAAACATTTCAGGAACAATGGTGGCAACACTGAGGTGCTAGGGTGTAAGTGAAAGAGGCTCACACAGTGGTCTGGGCAAACCAGGGCTCTCGGCCTCTCATCAAGGGCTTGGCAGGTGGAATGTACGTGGTATTCCCAGGGCACAGAGGAGGGACAGTGAGTTGGCCCAGGAGAGTGCAGGAAATCCAGATGAAGGTGACATCTGAACCCAGTCTGGTAAGATAGGTGGCGGATAGCTGGTTTCAGAGCTAGAATGCTCAGGGGAGATGGATGCCATTAGAGCAAAAAGCGGTTCACTGCTGGGAGCCCCGAGGGGCACAGAGTGTTTGAGGCATTCAGTATGTTGGCAAAAGGGGCACCAGGGAGGAGCAGAGAAGTGTGGGGCTCCAGCAGGGTAAGGAGCCCCAACTAAGGCCATGAGGCCCTGCCAGCCAACAGCTTTGAGTACTAAGATTTGTTTTTTAAGAAGATAAACCTACAGTGGAGAAAGGCTAGAATAGGAAACAGTTTTCATCTGTAAAACTATCAAGCCAACTGAAATGCAGGCTGCAAAACATTATGCCTAGTATGACTTCATTTTAAGAACAGCAACAAAGGGCGCCTGGGTGGCTCAGATGGTTAAGCGTCTGCCTTCGGCTCAGGTCATGATCCCAGGGTCCTGGGATGGAGCCCCACCTTGGGCTCCCTGCTCAGCGGGAAGCCTGCTTCTCCCTCTCCCACTCCCCCTGCTTGTGTTTCCTCTCTCGCTGTGTCTCTCTCTGTCAAATAAATAAAT